AGCTCAGAGACAAACCACCCTCTAGGACACACATCTCGCTTGATGCGAACCCACCTCGGTGGCTTTTTTTTTTCCCCCAGCCAGTGGGGCAGCCTTTGCTACAGGCTCAGGATTGCCTGCAGGCAAACACGGGACCTGCCAGGGAGAGAACTATCAACCGCAGGAGAACGGCAGGTGCACTGGCAACTGCGTTCAGATCCACGCGAAGCTGACTGCCTTTTACACAGCTTCTGTTCTGTTTCAGCCTTCTCTCCCGAGACACCTGGGGGTTCTGTTCTAAAGCAGCTTGATTCACAGTGCAACATTTCCATAGTGTCAGGACACACGAGAGTGGGGCCTTGTCTTTTTTTCCTTAATAATTTTTTTAAAGATGTATTGACTTTTTTGTTGGAAAGGCAGATTTACAGAGAGAAGGAGAGGCAGAGAGAGAGCTTCCATTCACTGGTTCACATCTCAAATGGCCACAATGGTCAGAGCTGAACCAATCCAAAACAAGAACCTAGAAGCCAGGAGCTTCTTCTGGGTCTCCCATGCGGGTGCAGGGTCCCGATACTTTGGGTCATCCTTCACTGCTTTCCCAGGTCACAAGCAGGGAGCTGGATGGAAAGTGGAGCAGCTGGAACACGGCCAGTGGCCACATGGGACCTTGGAGCTTGCAAGGAGAGGATTTAGGCATCCTCCCCACCCCCTTTTTAAGAATTTATTTCTTTGTAAGGCAGACAGAGACAGAGATTTTCCCTCCACTGGTTCATTCTCCTTCAAATGGCCACAGTAGCTGGAGCTGGGCCAGGCTGCAGCCAGGGGCCTGGGACTCCATCAGGGTCTCCCACAGGGGTAGCAGAGGCCATATTTTCTCAGGTGCATGAGCAGGGAACTGGATTGAAAGCAGAGTCTCCAGAACTCAACCAGCACTTTGATGTCAGTACTGCAAGTTGTAGCTTAACCCACCAAGCTATAATAACAGCCTACCCTAAAATAAATAAATAAATAAATAAATAAATAAATAAATAAATGGCAGCCTGACTTAATCATAAATTCAGATGTGACTTTTTAAGGAGGTATATATATTCATAGGAATATCCTTCTAAAAATGTTTTATTTTATTTGAAAGGCAGAGAGACAAGAGAAGAGTACTCCTTTCTGCTGATCCACTGGCCCAAGGCCCATAAATGTCTGCAACTCAGTCCAGCACTTGTTTGTGGGCAGCAGGGGCTCAAGCACTTGCGTCATCACCGGCTGCCTGCCTAAGCGGTACGTCGGCAGGAAGCTGAAATCAGAAGCAGAGCCAGGACTCAAAGCAAGCACCCCAATACACAGGGACATCCCAAGGAGTTTCCTGTTGCACCAAACACCTCCCTGCTTCAAGTTTTAGTCTCATTCCCTCAACTCCACTTGAAAAACACATGCACTTGAGACCACTGACCAATTTAGGCCAACATCATGTTTCTATCGGTTGACAGATGTGGCTACTATCGATTTCATCCACCCTATGTGGATCTCCTTAGCCATGAGACAAGTGTGAAGAAGTGAAAAGGTTTTGTTGTAACATTCACAGGCAATCTCAAGGTGGTTCATTCATACGAGGAATATTGTGCAGGCCTGTTGAGTTGGAGCCATGATTCCACCCTGGGGATATTGAGATAATAAGCGACAGGTCAGAGAAAGACTGTGCATATAATGCTAGTAAGTGGAAGCTAGAGGACCCAGCAAAGCTGCTGCAGGGCATGACATGAGCAACTTCAGGTAGAGTGAACAAGGGAGGGTCTCTTTGCTTGTGCACTCAAATGCTGAGCAAGGAGGGACAGCCCAGGAGAGTAAGTCTGAACGAGGCTGAGGCACTGTGAGCAGAGGCGAGGACAAGAGCGCAGGCCCCGCAGCAGGGCTATGTTTGGCACACACGAGGAAGTGCACTAAGGCCCAGGTGGTAAGGGCAGAGCGAGGGGAGGCCGGAGATGCAGCAGGGGTACTCACACTGGGGCTTGAAGCTTAGCCAGCAAAGTGGCTTTTGCTCTGAGCAAGGACTTTGAGTTGAGCATGAAAGGGTTTGACTCATGTTCCAGAAGACTCAAGATGCTAACCCAAGTGGCTGGGAGACCCAGGCACATTCCTGGCTCCTGGCTGGCGTGAACACTTAGGGAGTAGAGGATGCAAGCTCTGTTTCTTTTTCTCTTTCTGCTCCGTTTTTCAAGTAGGATAATGATTTTAAAATTAAACACAGTTATAACACACACTCCATACACCCATGACCTCTCAAAGATCCCCCCTTTCAAATGCCATCAACATGAAATTGGGGATTGAGTTTCCAAGAGACTTTGGGGGACCCATTCTAACCACTGCAAAGGGCAGCAAATGGTCCCTTGTGCCAAAGGCTGCTGACGGGTAAAACAATAAGAAGCAGATCGAGCACCTTGGCCAGTGTGAGTCCAGCAGAGTAATGGGGACCCCTGACACCCACTTGGGAGACCCAGTTGGAGTTTTAGGATCCTGGCTTCTGCCTGGCCCAGCCTGGTTACCACAGTGAATCAGTGGACGCAAGATCTCTCCCTGTGTCACTCTGCCTTTAAAATAAAAAGATCCTTAACAACAACAACAACAACAAAAAAAAAAGAGAGAGCGAGAGAGAGAGAGAGAGAAAGGAAGAAAAAAGAAAAAAGAACCCTAATGGAAATAGCCAAAATGTTCAGGGCAATTGCCTCCTTTCCTTTTTTTCCTGCTGCCTCTGATTTCTCTGCTTGTATTAATTTTATTTCTCAGAATTCACAGCACAAGGACGCTCTCCTTGTAAAGTTCAAACGCCGTGGTATGGATTTTTCCCACCCGCCCCACGGGGAGTGTGTCACTGTTCTGGGCTGTGCTTTCGTGTTGCGAATGTGTCCATGTAATGCACACATTCATGCACACAGAGTCTTACTTGGTCCCTTCTTCTTGCTGCCACAACAGCCCCCAGGCCGGGCGGCTGACCCACACTAGGAAACCTGCTTGTCACCGTCGGGAAGCCGAGATGCCCATAACCGAAGCCCCAGGCCCCGGCAGATTCCCTGAGGTCTCACAAGGGAAGGCACACGGGGTCTCTCTGGGATGCGTCTTTTCAGGCTACTGACCCCACTGCAGGGGAGTGCTCCTCTGTGGTTTTCAAACAGACGGCAATGCGTGTTAAGCCCCTGTATCATTTCATCCGGCCAACATGTTAGCAAACAAGAAAAAAACACTCAGTGTTTCAGGTTCAGCAGGAACCCCCAAAATAAAGGGACTTCCACAAAGTACACAGGAGATGGAATTAAATCCAGATTCATTTTGATGTAGAAACCTTTAAAATCCATGTGTACAGTCTTCAAACAACCAAAAACTCATGGAAAATGCAAGTATGAAAAAAATTATGTGTGGATTTTTTGGCCCCCAGGCAAACATATCTTCTAAGTAAATTTTTTCTATAAACTGCATCTTATTACCTTCTGCATTAACTAGGTCATCTGGTCAGTACTTGGCTGGACAAGGGAAACAATGAGCAAAACCAGTAGAATTCCTGAAGGAGACTATTTTTTTTTTTAAGATTTATTTTATTTTTATTGGAAAGGCGGATATACAGAGAGGAGAGACAGAGAGGAAGATCCTCCATCCGATGATTCACTCCCCAAGTGAGCACAACGGCCGATGCTATGCGGATCCGAAGCCAGGAGCCTCTTCCAGGTCTCCCACGTGGGTGCAGGGTCCCAAAGCCTTGGGCCGTCCTCGACTGCTTTCCCAGGCCACAGGCAGGGAGCTGGATGGGAAGCGGGGCTGCCGGGATTAGAACCGGCGCCCATATGGGATCCCGGGCGTGCAAGGCGAGGACCTTAACCACTGCGCCACCACACCAGGCCCCTGAAGGAAACTATTAAATGTTGTTGCCAATCAAGGCATCCTTCTGCTCATGGCGGCTGATTTTCTTAGGGCGGAAGGGACTATATCTGGAGCCACTGAATGCCTCTAGGAGCACTGGCTGCACATCCTTGTGTGTGGCGCTGGTGGTGAGCAGCTCACAGGAATCCAGAGCTTCAGCCGCACTGTGCTGAGGGACCCTCGCTTCCAGGGGTACTCCTGTTGTCCACGAAGTCTTCTCTCCTGGATAAGAACATTCTATTTCACTTCAAATCAATAGGTCTGGTTGGATGAGTTTGCTCCTGAAGTCGGGAACATAGTAGAGGGAGGAGGAGGTGGGAGAGGGAGAGAGGGAGGCAGGGAAAGGGGAGGGGAGGGAGGTAGAGAAAGAGTGAGGAGGGCCCAGCACCATAGCTTAATGGCTAAAGTCCACGCCTTGCATGCCCCAGGATCCCATAGGGGCTCTTGTTCATGTCCTGGCTGCTCCACTTCTCATCCAGTTCCCTGTTTGTGGCCTGGGAAAGCAATAGAGGATGGCCCAAAGCCTTGAGAACCTGCACCCACGTGAGAGACCAGGAAGAAGCTCCTGATCCCTGCTTCAGGTTCAGCTGAGCTCTGACCATTGCAGCCACTTGGGGAGTGAACCAGGGAATGGAAGATCTTTCTCTCTGCCTCTCCTTCTCTCTGTAAATCTGCCTTTCCAATAAAAAGAAAAAAAAAAAAGCAAGTGGGGAAGAGGGAAAGAGGGAGAGATAGACAAGAAAGAAGGGAGGGATGGAGGGAGAGAGAGAGAGAGAGAAGGAGAGAAAGGGAGGGAGAGGGGAAGTACTGTCAATACTATTTGTATAGGCTGAGAAACGAAAAATAAGAAAGTGACCCTTTTCCACTAGAAAACCTCCCCACCATCAACTTCCCATGCCTAGCAGTGTGTACTGCACAATCCCTGTGCCAGGAGATGGCCGACAGTCACGCCAGATGTAAGGGCAGCCACAGCTACACACAACACACACACACACACACACACACATGACAGCTTGACCTCAGCCTTGGGACCACTGTCAGGGGCTCAACAGACAAATCACCAAAGCAGTTCCTAACACCAGCAAACAAGGTGCATTGTAAAAATCAATATTCCACGCTGGCCTCTGAATCCCGCTTTATTTCACTTTCAGGAAATCAGTCCGCTTTCTTATAATACACTGTATTACAAGAGGAAATGTGGAAGGGGGAGTAGAGGCAAACGGAGAGCAAAGGACGAGATCTGCAGAGAGAGAGAGAGAGAGAGAGAGGCAGGGAAATCACCAGCCTTCAGCTCCCATGGTAGGGCCTGGCATGAATTTTGTTTCCAGATTTGTCAATTTCCAAAACTCACTGGTGGAATAAAGAGCTTAATCCAGGTTTGCGGAAAGGAGTCCTCGAGAGGTCTTCACCAGGCTGAAACGGGATTAGCTTTGTGGTTCTTATAATCTTCTTCACAGAAGAATGCAACTTCAGTCTCACTGGCTGGAAAAAAAGAAAAACAACTGAAATGAGAAAAAAAAAAGTGTTCATGTAAGACTAAATGGTAAGCAAGCAGGACGACCTGCCCTGCCCGGGGTCCCTCCGTGAGAAGGGCCTGCATGCCGACAGCAGGGCTGGGGCTGCGCTATGCTACCAGACCCCTGGGGAGAGGCCGGGAGACAGCTTTCAAGACCCTCAAACTCAACCAACTGAAAAGCAACAAAGAGCAAGAACATGCCCCCCCACTCCACAAGTAAATTCGAGTGAACATCCAAATCTAGACTTTAGGAAATCATCAAATTGCCCCTTTACCATACAGAAAAATAACAAACCTGGGTTTTATTTTAAGTACACTACTCAATTTCTGAAGTGGGAGGGCTCGTTCCCCCAGCAAAATTAGCCTGTAGGTATAATAATTTAATACTTAGAGGATCAGTAGAATATTTTACAGATCACTTTACATTCTCCCTCATGACCCATCAAAATCTGTATCTGAAGAAGTTAATTTTTTGCCCTCCTCATGACTAATTCATGAGGCTTCAACAATATGCAAAGTGAAAGATACAAATTGGCTTCTACCTCAATACCTTCAAATGCCTCTAATTATTCGCAGGGGACAAGTGGCATAGCTAGAGGACCCGCAAAAGTTCAGAGCAAGTCACAATTCTTTCAACCTAGCAGGGTCAAGGACTCAGTCTTCTAAAACAATAAAGTCAGCAGCATTATTAATTCAAGGCTGGAGACGGAGCTGATGGAAAGCCTTCCAATTATTAAACATGCAATTCTTTAAGGTGTTGCACCAACAAGTTCCGCATTGGTTTTTTAAATTAAACCAGAAGTTAATACAGTCGGCTTGACTTCTACAGAAAGAGCAAAAGGGCCTTCGGAGTCTTGAGGAGAAAACAGACAAGATTATTTGTAATGAATACTGAGTGCTCAATTAACATAGGCTCAGAGAGCCAGACAAGTAAAACTCTTCAAGACAAATAAATAGGATAATAAGAAAAGGGGCCAAGGATTACCACCCATCTCTTCCTTTGCCACTTTCATCTCATCCATTAGAACTTATCACCAAGGAAGGAAATTAAAGAGATTAGCATGACATTTCATTAGAAATGGTTTTGCTGGTTTTTTTTTTTAATAAAGAATATCAAATTTAATATCACTCTGGCATAAGCCACCCATGCTCATTACAGAACACAAACAAATGCTGAGACAAGAAAATACAATCAAGCGGCATCTCAAAGCCTCATTTCAACTCCACTACATCTTCCAGATTAAATTTAATCACAGTCAATGACAATCGGATTGCAAGCTCGCATCGCTTTGAGCGAGGGAGGGGCACAAATTGCACCCTGCGCAAACACTTACTGTACACTCGCGTTTACAGCAGAAGAGCCTTGCAAAAAAAGGGCAAGAGGCATCGACCCATGCATCATGTATCATATAACATGTCGAGCATCAGTAACATGTTGAGAAGGGGACCTTGCAAGATGGTGGCCTAGCCTTTCCTCAGCAATCTCTGGAGGCTTCCTTCCAAGAAAGTAGGCACACCCAGGGGGTGCACTTCGATCATCTGCCAGTGATTCTAATCAAACTTCTCACAGTGAGTGCGCACCAGTGCAGGAGCAAGGCTTCCACGGCCATGTGCTATCTACCCACAGCACCTGCATGTGGCCGCTGGCACAGCAGTGCACCAGGCATGGTGACAATGTTCACTTACTGCACTTGACATTTGCGTCTTCCCCTTTGGAGAAATTCAGGCGGCGGAGGGCAGCTCCCCTGCACAGGGAAGAGCAGGCTCAGGACACGCTGACTGGAAGCCAGCACCGACAAGGTCTCCTAGGTCTCATTAACTTATAGAGAGGCCCGTTCTCTATATAAAGCATTTATGCCATTTCTCATAATATAGGCTCAGCAAGTGATCATCTCAAATTGTATCATCAGATGATTGCTTTCTTTAATTTTCTTTTTTGTGGGGGGCAGGAAAACTAGACTGACATATGGGTTAAGCTCCGATATTGCTGGTTCATGAAAATAGTTCTCACTCTTAACAAATTGGAAAACACATGATTACAAGTCAACATGAACATCTGCAAGTCAAACACAAAGTGGATTTTAAACTTTGGTGAAATCCTCCATGAGAAGGAAAATTTCATGTTTTTAAATTTAAAAAAAAAACCTATACAACTGCTGAAAACATCTGAGAGGAATATTTTGTTCGTAGACTGTCACATTGCAATCTGAGCTGCTGATTTAACATTTTATGTTTTTTTAGTGGACACAGAACGGTGACCCAGTATAGCAGCACACACGGTGCTATTTCAGAGCACGAGGCTCAGACGGGGTAAGTGGCACATCCCTCACCTCAAGTGTTTATCATTTCTGTGTGTTGAGGACATTCGACTTCAGTGAAAACAAATTACAAATGATGCTGGAGACTTCTACATAATCACTCTTGCCATCATTAGCCCTTAAATGCCTGCTTTCCAGAATTCGATTGCAAATGGTTCCTTTAAAAATGGCTGGGGAAGAACCCCTGCGGAAGTCTACAGTGTGCTGGTCCCCCAGGGTACCAGATTTTAAATTAAATGTGCTGCGGGCGCCGATGCAGTCAGGTGCGGAGTGCCTTGGCGTGGGAATCGGAAATGAATGTGCAATCTAAAATCCAATAAATGCATTGCCACTTCATCCCTTCGTCCTCCTATCAAATGGAATCAAGTTAAGAACCCTCCAAATACATTTGTGGATCATTTTAATACTGATACTCAAGATAAATGAAATGAACACAGGGAAGGACATGCAAACTCTGGATATGAAACTAATTCTATCATGCTGCCAAATGGGACAGACAGATGGACACACACGCACATCCCTTTAACAGAAAACTAAGTATAAGACAATAGCATGCTGGACTTTCTACCACTGCCCGTACTTACAGTGTCAGGATACGCTTAAATAGCTGAATGATGACCTTATGGCTGTTTATGAAGGACTACATTATTATAATGATACAGGGGAAATCAGTGGGGGGGTGAGGCAGGCAGACTTCAGGAGGGGAGTAGAGAAATCCCAGAGTCTATGGAACTATATTATCAAATAACAAATAAATAAATTTTTAAAAAGAAGAGAAACCAATTTTAAGTGTGAAGTCCTAAGAAATGGTAATGTATTTAAATCCCTCAATGGATCCATCTCAATAAATGCATCTGTTGAGGAAGATTTATTGCATCTGTCTTTGGTGCCCTGTGCCTTGCTGGTAAGAACCAAGGTAGGACAGGGCACAAGTTCTGTGCTCTGGAGCAAGAACACCGCAGACAGTTCAATGGCTCATGGCACAGGTCATCCACCATCAGGGAGGCTGTGAGTGTCAGGTGTAGACGAACTGGACATTGAGAATAGGGAGGGGTTTCCGTGCCAACCTGAGACCCAAAAGACAAAACTGCACCCTTTCTTCTACTCCAGGAATATACTGCATCCTTCTAAATCTCACGGAATCCTAACTGCCACATCTTTCCAAAGCCACACTCACAACTGTGTTGTGCTTCCAAGTTTTCTACCAAGAGGAACAGGGCCCTGTTACATGTCCCACACCTGACTTGGGTGGAAGCACCTGCTTGGAGGACTGCATGCTAAATACACCTGCTTTGGAGTAGCTGACAGAGAAGTGTTTAAATGAGAGTTGGAAGGAAACAAACAAGAAAACCTGACCTTTGATTAACTAGGCACCGGCCTGTGATGTCCACCCTACGTGTATGGCAGGGGCTGGGGTGGGGGTGGGCAGGAAGATGAGCAGGGGGAAGGAGGTTAAAAAAGGAAAGACCATCTTTGGGGGTGCATCCTGACACCCTGTTTTTTACTCCATTTCCCCGCATGCCATTCACGCTGCGGGTACCAGACTGTGCCATTGTTATGAAAACAACAAAAACAAAAAAAAATCCTTAAGGGAACACAAATAAAACAGGAGCCTGACAGCGGAGAAGCCTGCTCTATTAGCTGTTGCATGCAGGCAGGCAGAAGGTGCCAGGTGAATGGGGAGGTTCTGGCTAGGGGCAGATGATAGAAACGAGGATGCACAATGGAAACAAACCACACGGGAGCTTGGGGTGATTACAGGACCGGCTACCAGGAACGCTCACAGCTTGGCTCAGCTGGCATCTTGTTTGAAAATAGCTCCCATCGCAACACAATCTGCTGGGCAAGACTTTCACTGCCACCAATTGTTTCTGAGTCCTGAAGAGCAGTAGGATGGAAAACAAGGAAAATAAAAAGATCCAATAACACTTAGAAAGGAAAAAACATCCTACCTGTAAATTTAGCACTTATAGACTCTTAAAACTAATGGCTAAGAATAAGGTTTTCTTTTCTTTTTTTAATCTTTAGATTATAAATAATGGTTCTAGGTAAAAATCTCCTTCCTTCCTTCCTTCCAAAAAGTCATTTTTTAAAATGTATGTATTTAGTACTGAGTCACAAACAATCATTTTTACCAGGTTGAGTGTGGGCTGTGCGATATGAACCTGCAGGGCACATTAAAGGCCTGAGGAGAAACAGGGGCATTTCTCCATGAGAACAGAGACCTTCAGACAAGCTTCTTCCCCTAACTTGCACCTCTGACAGCCCAGCTTTCCTTTCACATCTCCTGTGGTCTCAAGAGTCCTAATAAATCGGTTACACTGGCATCATTCCCATAGCAACTGGCAATGATGGGGAGCGACAGTTTTACACACAGCGAGAACAAGTGGTGAAGAAGGAAGAGTGTGATGCCTTCGAATCGTTCTTTCAAACCTCTCATATGCCCAACCAGACACCACATCAAGACGCAGAACGGTCCCTAGACAAATTTCACACTCCAAGTGCCACTCCGACCGCTCGACTCCAGTTTAGAACGTTCTGTTGCTCTCTGCGGACACTTGTCTCCTTCCCAAGGCACAGCCTGGCCTCGTCCCCCAGGGTATGTATCACCACTCTCGGCAACTAAGAGGAAAGAGCTGCTGGCAGGG